TAAGAAAAATATACAAAACGTATATAATAAACAATATTATCATTTTATTTAGGATTTATTTTTCCCCAGAAAATTAATATGCATACATAGTTTCATAACTTCTATTAATTCTAAGAAAAATGTTATTCTACCACAGAGCTATTAATTATTCTATTCCATTAGTTGCTACTTTTTTGTTTAATCCTCATTTTTAAACCTCATTTTAAACCATTTATCTTAAATTAAGAGGGTAAGGTGAAAATAACATTTTTCCACAATTACTCCAAATACACTTATATAATTGTTTTAATGGGTTTTTTTAGAAAATTTATGTTATCACATAATAAGAATTAGTATATAATTATTGATATTTCAGATATCTACCTTCTATTCCACTCAATGTCTAAAATGTTGCACAATTATAATATTTTATGTATTGATACTAAACAATGTGTTTTAATATTTGATGGGGCAGGTCACTTTTTATTATTTAATAACCCTACATATTTTATTTTAATAAACAGTTTTCCAGTTTACTTTTATGAAGAATTATGATACCAAATTCAAATTTTGATGGAATTTAAATTGGAATGTTTTATATACATTAAAGTTAAAATTTGCATTTTTTAAAATATATAATTGTCCTTTGCAAGAATAGGTTCAATATATTGAATTAGTCAAATTTTCATTTAAATTTTCCAGTGATAAGATTATGTAGTTTTCATATAAAATCTCATCATGTATTAAAATTCAACTTTATCTCTAAATATTTCCTATATTTGTTAACCTGAGGAATCTCTCCCTCTTTAAAATTATATTTTCTAGCTTTATTAATTACTGGATTATAGAAATACAAGAAAATTTATATATTTACATTATGGTTAGATATGTTTTAGCTTACAATGGATTTACATAGGTGTTCTAAGTGTATAATTTCATATATATACATATATATGTGCTTATATATAAATACACTCCTGGTCAGTACTTATTTATCATTTACCTTTCTTTATATTTCCATACCTAAGGAATCTCAATGTTTTATTAATAATAGAGAAGTATTATTTCTGATTTTAAAGTTAATCTATTCCCTGTAAGACTCTGAAAACAGCTATTTCCCTATTCTGTTAAAAATATATACACATGACTCTGAAAACTCTAAAACACTGATGAAAGACACTGGAGATTACACAAGTGGAAAGTATAGTCCATGCTCATGGAATAAAAAAATTAATCTTATTAAAATGTCCCTACTACCAAAAGTGATCCTCAGATTCAATGCAATCCCTATCAAAATACCAATGACATTTTTCACAGAACTAGAGAAAATAATACTAAAATATTTGTGGAACCAAATAGCCCAAGTAATCTTAAGAAAGAAGAATGAAGCTAGAGTTATAACAGTCCCAAATCTCAAGGTATACTATAATGCTGTAGTAGTCAAAATAGTATGGCACTGGAACAAAAAGAGATACATAGATAAATAGAACAGAACAGAGAGCCCAGAGATAAACCCACACATACATGGTCAATTAGTCCACAACAAAGGAGGCAAGAATATGCACCCTCTTCAATAAAGGATGGTGGCAAAACTGGATGAAGCTCAATCATTTTCTTATACCATACAAAAAAGTAACTCAAAATGGGTTAAAGGCCTAAATGAAACTTAAAGCCATAAAACTCCTAGAAGAAAACATAGGCAGTAATTTCTTTGGAGGATGACCATTCACCCATGTCTCCTCAGGCAAGGGAAACAAACCAAAAATAGGGTTGGGACTATAGCAAAATAAAACGCTTTTGCACAGTGAAGAAAGCCATCAACAAAACAAAATGGTAACCTACTGAATGGAAGAAAAAACTTGCAAATGATATGTCTAATAAGAAGTTAATATCCAAAATATATAAAGAACTTATATAACTCAACACCAAAATAAAAATAATAATCTGATTACAAATGGCTAGAGGACATGAATAGACATTTTTCCAAAGGAGACATAACAATGGCAAACAGGCACGTGAAAAGATGCTCAACATCACTCATTATCAAGGAAGTACAACTCAAAACCACATAAGATATTACCATATGCCTGTCAGAATGGCTAGAATAAAAAGACAAGGAGTAACACATGTTGGTGGGGATGTAGAGAAAAGAGAATCCTCATGTACTGTTGAGGTGAAGTAAATTGATGCAGCCATGGTGGAAAACAGTATGGAAGTTTCTCAAAATATTTTAAATAGAAACATCATATGATCCAGTAATTGGACTACTGGGTATTTACCGAAAGAAAACAAAAACACTAATCCAAACAGATATACGCACCCCTGTGTTTGCTACAGTATTATTTACAATATGGAAACAAAGCAAGTATCTATCAGCAAATAAAGCAAGATATGATAGATATATAGATACACACTCAAACACATACATACACACACACAGGAATGTTACTCAGCTATAAAAAAAAGAATAAGACCTTTCCATTTGCAACAAAAGAATAAGACCTTTCATTTGCAACAACATGAATGGACCTAGAGTATATTATGCTAAGTGAAATAAGTTGGAGAAAGACATATACCTAATTTAACTTACATGTGGAAACTGAAAAACAAAACAAATGAACAACTAAACAAAAAGCAGAAACAGACCTATAAATATAGAAACAAACAGATGGATGCCAGAGGAGAGGGGGATGTGGGGATGGGCAAAATGGGTGAAGGAGAGTAGGAGGTACAAACTTCCTGTTATGTAATGGATAAGTCACAGGGATAAAAGGTGGAGCATAGGGAATATAGTCAATGGTATTGTAACAACACCAAGTGGTGACAGGTGGTAGCTATATTTAAGTTTTAGTAATTATTATTTAGACATATATTAAATTGTTACATATTATTTTCTTATTTAACTTATTAATGTAATATAATGTTAAATTTCTTTCTGATATTGACATGGATCTTTGGATTTCTAAGAGGAAAAGACATCCTAATTGTTAATGGAGTAGTATTATTTGGTACAGTACTTTACACCACTGTCATCTATCATCAGGGAGATGAGTAAGCTGTTGGTTTTGTCATTGAATGGGATAAGGAAGTATTGATGCAGAGTGAGAAACTAGACACTTTAAGAAGTTATTTTTTAAAAAGACAGATAAGAAATAATTCCAGGGTGTCTGGGTGGCTCAGTCAGCAAAGTGTCTGACTTTGGCTCAGGTCATGATCTCACAGTTCGTGAGTTCAGGCCCCGTGTCCAATTCTGTGCTAACAGCTCGGAGCCTGGAGCCTGTTTCAGATTCTGTGTATCCCTCTCTCTCTGCCCCTCCCCCACTTGCATTCTGTCCTCTTTCTCTTTCTCTCTCTCAAAAATAAATATAACATTAAAAATATTTTTTTTTTTAAAAAAAGAAAAGAACTGATCCCAAAAGGCAAACTTCATACATCAGCATTTTTCCTAGAGCTAGTCTGGTGAAAAACAGTCAGATTATAGTTGTGTTAAATTTTAACAAAGGATGGATAAAATCATCAGGAATATTTTCAAGAAATCATCTCTGTAACTGCCAACAATTAGCAAGAGACAGTGAGCCTTTTAAAAGCGGAGTGCTCACTTATTGTTGTTGTAAATAAAGAAAAGCATGATTTTGGAATCTGGCATTTTATTTATGACTTTATTTTATTTTAATTCTTTTCCTACTTGGGGAACTACTTGAAGTCGCTCGTACTTTCTATAGTGACATACTTGGTTCTTACCTGTATAAAAACTTAATTACTGATTTATTTTCTATTCTAAAACAAAGAAAAACATTCTGGATTGCCCAAAAATGTGTGACATGCCTCTGAACCCATGAGAGACAAGTGCTTGTCATTTTGTCAATGTCTTAAACTCCTATTTCATCTTTGAAACATGCTTTTAACGTATGCTCTTTCTTGACTCTTCCCGCACCCTTGCAGGCACTATTCCCCTCCCGGCTCAGCTGTATCTTTGTTTCTGGTAGATGTGATGGGAGTATATAGACATGAAGAAAAAACAACAGGAATTCAAATCCCAAATCTGTTCCTTGTTAAGCATGTGAGACTGAAGGATTCACTGAAGGATTTCATTTTCTCTTTTGCTAACTGTATACCTGCTGCTGCTTTCCTCATAGGGTTTGTTTGAGTCTTTTATGAAAGAATGTGCATTAAATCTCAACAAAATTAGTCCACCTTCACTGTATTCTAACACTTTTAATGTTTGTATTTATATTCATCAAAAAATTCTTCTCCTATTAGAATGTTTTGTCAATCTACTTGAGGTCAAGGAATTGTTTTATTATCCTTGTATCTCATGTTTGACTCAATGAGTCCAGGAAATCAATTACTGTGCTCCAACCTCTGGGAATCAGAAAGACCAGAAAGTGCTTGCCCAGTTAATTCTTGAAACTCGTTTAGATATTTGTTGAGAATACCTCCTGCGGTGCTTGTACCTTCTGTGTATTACTCCAAATACACAGGCTTTAGTCCCTCACTAAGTACTCATTGAAAATGTTTGCAAGAAAATAAATTGGTTTTGTTGCCTCATTCCAGTTTGCAAAAGATATAATGGATATTTTCTATGAGCTAATTATATAAAGTTTTTATTCCTGTGTGTCTGATGTCTGCTTATTATCAAATCAGTCTGGACAGTGGCTCTCAACACTGTGACTTTGACAAAGCTCCAGAAGCCTCCATTATGGGCAAATCCATGTGGAGCTGTGATACACAGGTGAAAAGTTACATAGTGAGTCATTTCCACTAAAGGAAATGAGCCACTTGAAGTACACTCCAATGGCATAAATCCACTCCTGGGAGACCATCCTTGCACCGTCCAGACTGCAGCTGTTCTGGAAGGTTTTAATTCTGGGCCAGTCCTGAGATTTCTAGGAAACAACATTTATGTATTGGTCCCTATGCTCTATCCAGTCTTTTGTCATTTATCACAGCCTCAAACAAAATGGCTCTAAGACTTTGCAATCTCTAATAAGAGCTATGCCAGGTTAAAAGCATTTCCCTGAATATTTACATGGCAAGAGGGTTACCATGATGGCAAAGGTGGTTTTCTCAGTGTGAGGCCCATCCATTGCACTCTGGATGTAGTGACCTCTGTGACTTCCCCAAAAGTGGAAAACTTGCCTGCACGATTGGTGGTATTAGGGGACTGCAATCACACCTCCCCCTAAAAAAGCAAAAAAAAAAAAAGCATTTTCTTGAGGCAAATACAAATATTTCTTGGGCTTCATTTCAAAGTTGGAAAAATCGGGTTGAAAGGAAACCAGTAATTGGGTATTGTAGGTAATGATTCATGCCAAATCATTAGGAGAAATAAACAATTTCCACACAATACCAAATAACCGTTCTTTGGATTAAGATGGCAATACTATGGAGAAGAGGAAAGGGAAATAGTGACTCAGGTAATACTGATACTATTTTGACTCATTATAGCTGTTACTACTATTGTTTCCAATGGATAATCAGGACATCAAGACATTAAAACACATTCATAATCATATAGAATACAGAGGCAGCCTCTGCAGTTTTCTGCCTGCCTTAGAGTCAATATGTTGTTATCAGATTCATTAAAACTAGTTCTCTGTTTATTTTGTCCATCGTTTATTTTGTCCATCGCCGGTGGCAATCATACCCTGTTCTTCTCCCACAAATAATAATCCTTCTAAGTTCCCAGAAGTAATATGGCATTAAGGCTATATGAGTGCTCTTGTATATAAAAGGGCCAGTATATTCTCATATTCTCTGTCTCTCTATCTCTATGTCTGTCACACACACACACACACACACACACATACACACACACTTTCCTTCATATATACTCATGCTTTTTCTATTTTCTTGTTAGGAAAAATGATAGGTATTAATAAGGATTAACTTACATTTTTTTAAAAAAGACAATGGAAATCGATTTGCAAGTTTGAAATGCATTTTGATTATATATAGAATTGTTTACACTATTTCCAAGGGATATTGTCCCAAAAGCATAATCCACGAGAGCATGAAATTTTTATAATTCTTTTGAAAATATTCTACCAATAATTTTCTATCAAATTATGTTAAATGTTTTATTTATATATTTTACTTTATAGCATAATTGTTTAGTAAGTACATCATTTAGTATTCCACCAAGTAAAGGAAAAAATGATTTTACTTACCAAAATTAATGCTAACCAAATTAATTATGTAGTCTCTAATTGTGCTTTAAACTATTGGTATCAATCCCTGATAGAAAATACAAACACATTTTCTGTTTTTTTTAAATTAATCAATTAATGTTAAATAATTGTCAATCACATATTTCTTTGGATTTCAAATAAGCATCTACCTACTCAGTGCACTAGCTGGGGAAAAGAGCAGTTAAAAGACAGTCCTGTGAGGCTAAAGTAGAAAACTGTATGGATCAATATATATCATCTTGAAATGGAAAATATGAATTAAATGTTACAAAGTAGGAACTCACAAATTGGCAAGAATGTCTATCATAAGAAGTAATCTATTACAAACTAATCTGGGCCAACCAGATGCTATCTCTATTAGAACTGAATAATCAGAAGAAGTTAATCATTTTCCAATGAACAATTATACAATTAATTGCCTCTCTTGACCTTTCAGTTAAGGTTAGGCTCTCATTGATGAAATCTTCATAAAACAATGCCAATAAAAACCATATTTATGCAGGGAGCTCTGAAAGAGATCCCAATAGTCACGGCTGAAATCATTTGAGTAAAAATAAATAAATAACAATAATATTGGGTTTTAACAAAGAATAAGGTAATTATCCTTGAGTCTGTATTGATTTTATTTTTTTGTTTCCATACTTAGAATTTTCATGCAATAGTACTGACTTTTTTCTCTTGATAAACAGGTCAGTAAATTGTTATACATACATACGGTTCTGTGTAACCACCACGACCACCAGGACACAGAGCAGTTCCATCACATACAGAATTCTCTTGTGCCATCCTTTTATACTCACTTCCTCCCCTGACCTTATAGCTGGAATCACTCATCTGTTCCCTATGGTTGTTTTCTTTTCAAAATTTCATACAAATGGAAACAAATGGTATATAACCTTCTAAAACTGACTTTTTTCCCTCACTCTGCCTAATACCTTGCATATATCAGCAGTTTTTTTTTTTGCTGTTGCTGATTAGTATCCCATTGTATAGATATGCACAGTTTATTTATCCATTCACCCTCTGAAGGACCCTCTGTTTCTTTTGTTTTGTTTTTGCAAATATGAATAGAACTGCTATCAACATTTTTGTACAGATATTTGTGTAAACAGTGATTTTCTGTTCTCTAGGCTAAATATCCAGGCATGGGATTGCTGGGTCATATGATAAGTGTATGTTTCACTTTATAAAAAATTGCCACAATGTTTTCAGAGCGGCTGGCTACACCATTTTGCATTCCTACCAACAATTTATGATCTCTACCTTATCTGTGTGCTTGTCTGCCCTTAGTAAAGTCAGTACTTTCTTTTAACTTCGTCGTTTTCATAGATGTATATAGTTGCATCACATCACGATTTTAACTCACATTCTCCTAAAGGCTAACAAGGTCACCTATATTCCCATGTACCATTTTTCCAATTGTATCTCTTTCTGCTTTTTCAAATTCTCTGACCAATTTTTAAAGATTGTTTTCTGATTGTTGAATTTTGTAAGTTCTTCATATATTCTGAATATGTTTCATTTGTAGGTTATGTAATCTGCAAATATTTTTACTCAATCTATAGCTGGTTTTCATTTCCTTAAAGTGTCTTTCACAGCAAATTTTTTAAATTCTGATAAAGTGTAATTTATCTTTTTCTTTTATGGATCATATTTTCAACACCGTATTTAAAACTTCTTAGTCTATTACCAGCCACATAGATTTTCTCTTATATCTTCCTCTAAAAGTTTTATGGTTTTGTGTTCTACATTTAGAGCTATGATTCATTTTGAGTGACTTTTTGTGTGTAAGGCATAAGATTAGGCTGAGGGTCATTCTTTTCCTGTTCCTTTCATCTAATGTCACACTGTGTTGTAGCTTTATATTAAGTCTTAAAATCAAGTCATATAATTACTCCAAGTTTATTTTTCTTTAATGAAACTGATATAATAAATTTTTGAATAAATAAATGCAAAAGGAGTACATTTTTCTTACGGTAGTACTGGAAATAATGTAGAAGAAATGGGAAAAATATAAAATCACCACTAGACCACCATGGTAGTTATTGCCATAGGCAATATCCATTTATGAATACTAAAATTTTCAGTCGGCAAACATTAAGGAGAAACAGGGTAGCTGCATGGCCTCTAGGCATCTTCCCAAAATATTTATGTTACTATAATGGTTTGAACATGTATTTTCAAATTTTTTGATACTTCTCCTTGAAGTCGGTGAAGCTTAATTCTCCTCCTCTGGAGTATGAGCTAAATTTAGTGACTCACTTACAACAAACAAAATATGCAAAGGTAAAAATCATAATTTTACACTGGAGAAACCTGGCAGATAGCACTTCAACCAAGTGATCATGGTTAGCATCACCAGCAATAAATCACGCTGATACTCTGATATGATGCAGTGGAAAGGGCACATCACGTTTGTGGTATACTTTCCAATAATGCAGAACCTCAATCTAATCATGAGAAAACATCAGACAATTCCAAATGGCTAAAAAATACTGATCAGTACTCTCCAAAAGTGTCAAGGTCATGAAAGACAAGAAAATGCTGAAGGACTATCAGATTGGACAGAACTATAGAGACATCAAAAACTAAATGCAAGACTAAATGGAACATGATATCCTGCACTAACTTCAGGGAATGTAAAACCAGTGAAAGAAACTAGTAAAAAAAACACATAAAGCCTAAAGTTCAGTTAATATTATTGTATCAATGTTAATTTCTTAGTTTTCTTAAATACACAATGGTTACATAAGTTGTTAAGTTTTGGGGATAAACTGTGAAGGGCATAGTGAATTCTCAGTGCTTTTTTACAATTCTTCTGTAAGTATAAATTATTTCAAGAAAAAGTAAAAAAAAAAGTTTCTCTTTGCTCAGTTATAAATACCAAAGCATTAACAATCAAAATGTTAACATTATTTGTATTTATACCCTCCATAACGGAATTAATCATAATCATAAAAGAATTTTTTCACTCACAGAAAATTTTTTCTTCATTTTTTCATTAAGTTAGTAACATGTAGTAGTGAATAAGAAGTCCATACTGAGTATATGTTCTGCTGTTAGAGACTGTACTATATACTTTTGGAAAGTACACCTATTGCTTTTGCAAATTTTTTCTCAGTGTTTCTTTCTTTTGATAAAACTACCTTCAGGGGATCTCTCCTCCCTTCTCTCCATTCATTTGGCTTTGTATGGGACTGTTCAAGACTGGACCTTCAGAGTATTCCATATGCCTGGTGCTAATGGCATCACATCATGATTTTAACTCACATTCCCTTAACGGTTAACAAGGTTGGGCATATTCTTGTGTACCTTTTTGCCAGTTGTATTTCTTTTTGTTTGTTTAAATCCTCTGAACAATTTTTAAAAATTGTTTTCTGATTGTTGAATTTTGAACATTCTTCAAAGGATTCTAGGAAGAATACTTTGCTTTTGGAGGTTCCATCAGAAATAATCCTAGGACAGCTTTTAAGTGACTGGAAATAACTATCTCTCACTCACTGCACTTAACTGTTATAGTTGATATAATCATAATCATGGAACTATTGGAACCCACAAGGTGGAGATGAAATCAAAACATCTTGATGTGTTTATAATTTGAGATGGGTATTAGAATTAGGTTTGCTTCCAGGCACCCTCCTACACTGTTGGTGGGAATGTAAACTGGTACAGCCCCTCTGGAAAACAGTGTGGAGGTTCCTCAGGAAACTAACAATAGAACTCCCCTAGGACCCAGCAATAGCACTGCTAGGAATTTACCCAAGGGATACAGAAATGCTGAGGCCTAGGAGCACATGGACCCCAATGTTCATAGCAGCACTCTCCACAATAGCTAAAACATGGAAAGAGCCTAAGTGTCCATCCACGGACGAATGGATCAAGATGTGGTTTATCTATACCATGGAATACTACATGGCAATGAGAAACAATGAAATCTGGCCATGTGTAGCAACATGGATGGACCTTGAGGGTGTTATGCTGAGCAAAATAAGTC